CGCTAGAGCTTCAAGCTCCTTTTTCTTTTCAATAGCAGGGTGCGTGAATGATAAAAATATTGTCCGGCTGGTAATATCCATGATAACATATTGGAGTTATGATCTGTTGGATTAAGTTCTCCGATACTTTCGATGTGTAGCTAACTGTGGGTGCCTAATAACAGACATTACATCCGAAACACGGAATTAAGTTATTTTTCTCTCATGATCTGTTATTTTGTTCGTCACATTTGCAGAAGAGTTCCGATTTTGGAATGCTTCTGAAGTGACCCTCAAACTCAATCATATTACCGCTCGTCGTATTTGTGATCCTCTTTCTTTACATCTAACTTGCCTTGAAAGCAAGTACAAGTGCACTCAAAGACACTAATGGTGAATGGATCTATATTTTTAATGTGTTTTAATTGCGTATATCGATACTTTAAGCTTTGAGTAACGCACTAATTTCCAAAGACATTGTAGAAATATTAATTTTTATAAGAAGATGCGACAATAACCCCCACTAAAAGTTTAATAGCCAATCCCCAAAGACGGCCGCTGAGAATCGCCTAGTAATCCAGAAGAGGCCCAACCCGATAGGTGGAGAATATAGGAGCAAAACCCAATGAAGACAACATTATAGAAGTAAGTGTACAAGATCTGATACGATAATTGACTGAAATAGTTTAGATAACCAGTCCCCATTAATGAGATTTTAGCTTTAGATTAAAGTGACTGTCAAAGGCCCCCTAGGAAACTCACCGAGCCCATTGTAGCAATTATATACTCCGTCAGTCTTTTTCCAAGAACCATGTTCATGCGTGGCGTGACCACTACCAGCAACTCAATTACGTTCTCCTCCACCTTATGGAAGCTCACTGCGGGAACTCCATCCTGAGGATCAGACCGTTCGACCGTCCGGCCAGAGGTAACTTCCTCGGATGGAGTATCTGGCGAACCGGCGTCTTCCACCCTAAAATGTTTTTGCATTTGAATTGTGTCTCCAGTGTTTCTGGGCAGGCGATGTGTCGGATCCAGCTGTGGCCCTTGTCTCCGCAAAGAAGATCGAGGAAAACGCTGGAGATCTTTGCGCGTGCGTGTCCAACCCGAGACCGAGTCACCTAATTGTGGAAATGCAATACCTATTAATTGCACAAAAAGGCTGAAAATAAAACGCTAATAAACGTTACCTTATATTGAAGGAACGGTCGGAACGTGTATTTGGGAAAATATGGGCAATTAAATCGGGAACTTCTTCACGTAATCTTTTACACAGAAAGTCAAAACCATGAGGGTGTTTTTAATAATCAGCTCAAAATCTTACTTCTTTATTAACGGTTGCGTTGTGAGGTTGGCTATGACGATGTTACGTAAAATAGCTGACATTTGCTTAATTCGATTTATATTTGACAAATGGCCAACTGATAAATGTTATATGGCGGCAAATATATGAACTTTTAAGCGCAAATTCGCTTAATATATTGTGGTCTAAATACTATATAACAGAGTATTATATCCCAAAAATTAAGACCTTTTTAGTATATAACGACATTTTACATTATTATTTTTTTGCTTTAACGATCCGATTGCCCACAGTTCATCTGAGGGAGGCAAGCTGAGTGAAATTTTCCGCCGTCATATATTTCTGACAATATAAAGACTATAGCAAAGTGTGGATCTTCTTGATACAGTAAGAGATAACATGCTCGGATAAATATAAATCGACGGGAGTCTACTCGATTATGGTCACTTAGTTAAAATAAAATAAGTGAATCAAAAACAGAAAGAGTTTCGTAATAAATCAACTGACTAGCTTCGTATACAGTTTATTTCGGTCCTCAGCAACAGTGCCTTTATTGTTCGCCTTTTAAACGTGACATGTTCAGTGAAAAGTGTTCGATATAAAAAATTTTACATCCTTTGAACACATACATACATACTGTTAAGCGAAAACACTCCAACAACACGTTTTTAGAACTTCACTTTCGAAGAAACTTCGGGCATTTGTTTACACGTTTAAAAACTGTCCATTTTTTGCCGAAAATTGTGGATTTTTGCCTTCAAATTAAAGCGTATTTCCCCCTAAACAACTCACTTTATTGCTTGAATTAAATGCAAACACCGTTGCAGCCGCTTCTTATGTCTACTCTGCTGTTGAAAATGAAATACGGGATAAAAACTTTATGCTTAGTAACTTAAAGCTTTTTTAAACATATCTGTTACAGTTCACACATTGCCTTAGATTTATGCTGTTGCAGTATGAACATAGAACGCTTGTAGGTTAAATTCGATGTCTATTTCAGTAAAAATAATGATAAGCTTAGTTTACGAAGATTTGCATCAATGCTTACCTTGGATATGGAAATTATTATGACTAAACTTACATAAATTATAACCTGGGCGCAAGTTTAATAACGCAGGACAACACACGGCCCCATAAGTTAAAGTGGACGTCTACTCTCGAGAACCCAACTACTTCTATACGGGCACGATCCTGCACATTGTATAGTCCTATTGACAGAGATAAATCACCCAAAAGGAAGGAATGTACGTTTCGTTTAATGCTGTGTCGCATCTGATGCGCCTTCGAAATTCCGCTTCATTTGGCCGATTGAAAAATAACAGTGGCCGTTATTTATCGACAACCGGCTTTCGGGAAAAATAGCAGCTGCCGTAAGTACGCGTTGGCGCATTAATGAATAAAAACTTTGGTAGTGTGTATATGGCCAGTCAGCAGAAATATTCTGAAAACTTTGAAACATCTTTAACCCATTCCAGAGCGTAAGGGTCCTTAACTTTCACGCAATATAAGAAAGACTAAGGAGAAAGTCGCTTTCATTAAGTTATTCTGGTAATGCTTTGCCACCTGTCACTTAAAGTGATTTAAAGACTAGCGCATCACATAAATATGACAAGTATATCAACATACTTTGGAGGTAGAAAAGAAAACGTAAGCATAGCGCTTAGGTAAATAAAAAAAAGTAATGCATACCTCGAGTCCAGAACGTCCTCGACCTGAGGTGGCGTGCCGTTTCATTCAGGTTAACCTCGACGGTGGCTGCCGGACTAGGTGCGATGACGAAATGCAGAAAAGTCGAAGATTGCAGGAGAATGATCAGCGCCACAGATGTGAAAGACATTGACATTTTTGTGCTGCTGTGAATGCACGAAATAGTGCTGCTGTTGGCTGTAAGTTGGGTTATCTAGAATGCACTGTCCCGAGTTCCATGGAAGTACGTATGTAGTTTGTTTCGACCAAGTACTGCCTAACTTTTAAACATATGCCTAAGTAATCGAAATATGGCGTCAGTAGTGTCAGTAGTTGAAAAAGCCAGCGAGAAGGACCTAAGTGCTTCTTTGCAACTGTTTCAAACGATTGAAATACATTGTCGGACGTAGATCGGCGTGATAAGCCAAGTCGAAGAACGTAGACTTAGAAGTCCGACAGCTTTAATTAAATGATAGCCTGTGTACACAGACTTCTGTGAGCGTTTTACCATGTGCGCAATGTTTATATATATATATAT